CCGGTGAGTGGGTGTGGAGGCCGGTCCAGGTATCGGGTGCGGAGGCCGGTCCAGGTATCGGGTGCGGAGGCCGGTCCAGTGAGAGGGTGCGGAGGCCGGTCCAGGTATCGGGTGCGGAGGCCGGACCAGTGAGAGGGTGCGGAGGCGAAGTGGATTTTTCCCAGCAGTCATCCTCTGTCTGTGAGGAAGTTCTTGTACGGCTGATAGATTCAGCATCAACACTTCTTCTTCTGATAGAAAATAAGTCTTTGCCAAATCAAGAAGTTTTTTTTCTCTCTGATGTGAAAATAAAACAGATTTATAAACTAGTTCTTATCTGTCGTTCGATGGCTGACTGCTGTCCTCTTCTCTTCCATGTTCTCCGCTGCCTCCCATCAATCCCAGAGTGACATACAATGGGTAAGTAGCTCCACCCTCTCATAGCCTGTCCTGCCCTGTCCATGGATCCCCAAAATGTTGTGTCCTCAGACGTCTGTCGTCATCTCCTGGATTTCTCCTCTCTTTGTTTTATTTCCATCCTGGAGGAAACATTAAATGATCATTAGTTGTTTTTTTTTTCATGAAGACTATCAAAGCTTATTAGAGAAAACCTGGAAGAATTAACTAATTAAGTGACATTTTTATTTATTTAGTATAAAAAAAACTATATTTATTTAAATCTTTATATTTAAAAGTAGAGATCTTTCTAGGGTTTAGTTTATGAAATATGCGGCACAATTTGTTAGTTAAGGCTGAAGAGAAGGATTGTCTATTTATTCACGTCCAACGCTGCATTGTTGCAGCTGTGGATGCGCCATGTAGTCACATCAGTCAAATTCAAAACTTCTCAACCTCCTAACAGGGACGGATTGAGGAAATGTGGGGCCCTAGGCAAAGACAGTCAGGGGGCCCTCTGAATGGAGAAAATACCATATAAAACAGACCCATTATTCAGATAAAGAAATGTTAATAGAATAGACATCCATTATCTGTTCTAGGTTTTGTCCCTCTCTTCTTGTCCCTTTTCTTCTTGTTTTCCTCTCTATGTTTTGTACTCAGCTGACTTTTCATGCTGTCTCTAAAGGAATGAAAGATTTTTTC